TGTGTGTGTTTACTGTTGGGAATTTCACTGGGTGAATGATGTCTGAGCAACATTACAGCTAATAATAAAGCATTAAAGCTGAATATGGATGCAGTTTTGGTGCACCTCCTAAAAAGATTCAAGGTTGAACTTGAATGGGTTTTGGAGCCTGGTTTCATAACTTTACTCTAGTAGTTCTTAAAAAAAAAAAAAGTGTATATGTATATATATATATATATATATATATATGTATATATATATATGAAGGATCACGTGACACTAAAGACTGGAGTAATGATGCTGAAAATTCAGCTTTGATCACAGAAATAAATTACATTTTAAAATGCATTAAAATATAAAATAAATCTTTTAAATTGGTAGTGGAATGGTAGTGCAGCTTAATGCACTTTTCAAACCGAAAGATTTGCATTGTCCTTTAAAAGAAAAGAAAACAGTAAATACTTCTAGAATTATACTTGAAATAGAACAAGGTCTGACTTTTGGTTTTGGCTCTAATGGCTTTGACAGCTTCATATTTTTCCATTAAAAATATAATTCTGATGACTTTCCAGCTAATTTACACTTTTCTGATTATTTTTCTTTTCATTACTAAACTGTTTCTGATTCTAATTCAACAACCTCCCAAGTGTCTTCTTTCAAAGATCATTACGCCTGCAGTCCAAAAGGTTTGAGAATGTGCAGATGTGTCAATGTGCAGATTAGCAAATTAAATCTGTTCAAATTAAAGGCTCCAAAAGGCGGTTTTCGCAGCGATGCCATAGAAGAACGATTTTGGGTTTCCCAAAGAACCTCTCAGTGAACAGTTCTCAAAAGAACCGTTTTTGTCTTAGCATAAAGAACATTTGAATAATCTAAAGAATCTTTTTCCTCCACACTCTTTAAAATAGAGTTTTTTGGAGCTATGCCATAGAAGAACCAATTTGGGTTTAAAGGAACCATTTTTGAAGAACGTTCTAATATTCTGAAGAACCGTTTTCTACTGTAAAAAAAGTTTGTGCAATTGAATGTTCCAGGAATATTAAAGGCTCTTCAAGGAATCATTGATGCCAATAAAGAACATTTATTTTTAATAGTGTACAAGGAACAATCAACTGCACTCAATTGTTCAATAGATGGTAGAAGTTCTTCATGGAACCAGTAAAGATGCCAATAAAGAACCTTTATTTTTAAGAGTGAAGCATTTTATTCTGGCGCTTTAAAGACACCCAAACCAGAAGAAACTCTAATGCACCAACAAGAACTTTTTAGCCTCCTCAATCAGAAGAGAGTTCTCTGCTGAACCCAGGAGCCACTGAAGAACCTTTATTTTCAAGAGCACATGAGATTGGCTGGAGGTGGGGGGTGCTGGGAGAACTTCTCCAGTGACTCCAGCTCCACACCCCAGCAACAGTGGGTCTCAGGGTGGAATTTTCCATGGAGCATGTGGCACGGAGTATACGTACACTGCTCTCTAGTTTAAATAGTGCTGTGAGGGCTCTGCCAGCGCTCTGTCTCTGCATGAGCCCCACTCTATCTCTCTCTCTCTCTCGTGCATATTTGTGTGGCTTCCAGTGCCGCTGTGCCCTGCAGTGCTGCCTGCGAGCGCTTCCTGGCGCCCAACCAAATAAGGCCGATAGCATGTGAGCGCATTAGCCAACACATTATTCTGAAACAGGACACCTCATTCAAAGTTCACTTGCAGGAAAAAGCTAACTACATCTTATATGGTTATTATCTAGTCTTCTTTCTTTTCTATTTGCTCATTGTTTCCTTGCCACACATTGGCTCCGTTCCAAATCTGCACTGTCTACATAGGCAGCTGCCTTCTAAGGATTCTATCTGAAATGGAATCTCATAACTGATCAATTTGGAACGCTCTACATAGGCAGCGACTACAAATAGCACTCCTCAGAGGAAGTGTGTGGGAGACTTGACTCCCAATTGATTTCAATGGAGTTTGGTGTTAGCAATGTGTGCTAAGCTAACACTGCTAAACCTGAAATAAAATACACAGCACACAAACATTTTGTAAACCATTTTTAATTAGATTGAACTGTTTTTTCATTCATACTTTTTACTATTGAATTAAAATTTGTAAGGGGCTAAAGGTGCACCGGGGTTTCATTTTATTCTCCTCTTAACCACTAGATGGCACAAAAACTGAGGCAATTTCCTAAACATCCGCATTATGGAAATTTGGCTGATCTTTAATGCGATAACAGGCAGCAACGCAAAGCTGATTCTGAACTCATTTGATCTAATATGTATTGTTGTAGATTTATGTAGCAAACGAGAATCTATAAAATTAAAGAATATACTGAGACAAACATCTGATGTTTAGTTTTGTTCGAAGCAATTAAATCAACAGTTTTTAAATGATTCAAGAATATGTAAAAGTATGGTATTTGGGGGTAAAAAGCAGCTCTGCTGATGGGCTAAAGGCATAATAATTAACGCAATAAACAGATGGTTTACTTTTCCATTTCTTGATATGATATGGTTAGCTTTTTATTATTATTTTTTATTGCTTTTTTATTTATTCTTACTACTGTGGAGCCATATTGAATTATTATGGGATCTACTTCAAAGCTTAACTTTTGTTAAAATATTTTTCTGTATTTTTAATTTTAATGTCAGTTTTAATCTAATGACAGATGTATTGAACAAAAAAAATATTTTATATTTATCAAAATAAACAATTTGTTTTGAACAAGTATTAACGCAAAAAATAACATTGCTGGTGGGCCTTTTATCCCAAACATGTTACATGATTTCTAAACAAAACAAACCACTTTTATGATTTATTATCCCGCTTAATGTGTTGCTCTCTCAATGTTCAATAAAAATATTTTTTTCCAGTCATACATACAGTACAAAAGTAGTGAAAAGCACATTCTCCTTAATGCGTGCCTTAAGCCCCGTTGTACCCTAATCAACATTTCTGTTTCGCTTCGCTTGAGCTCGTCGCAATGCATTCTGGGATTTCAACATCCATTAGGGATACATGTGATACTGCTTTAAACTTGTCGCACACCACAATGAGGACAACTCACAGGTATCACAAACCGAATGGGTCATTCTGTACTCGCACGCTCAAGTTAAAGGCAGTCGTCCAAGAATCTAAACACCATACAGGCAAAAGTTCACTTCAAGTTTACACTTGCATTGGTGCATAAAAAACAGCACAAACAGTTGAATTAGATTAGAAAGGGTTATGCATATACAGTATATCATTGCCTATAGCATATACTTTATCCAAGGGAGTGTGTCTACAATGCCTTAAAATGCTAACTACATAGGCAGCTCTTTAGGATTTGGAACAGAGCCATTGTGATCTAACCCACAATCTGAAAATTCAATTTTAAAATAATCGGTGGCGTTTCTCCGAATGCTGACACAGGATTATTTATATCCCATAAATGCTTGCTGACTGGGGCTGGCGCTGTGCCAACTCTATTCATATTTGGAGTATTTATACAGCAGGCAGTGCCAAGAATAACATTTAATGCAAAATATACCTCGGGGCATAAAAGATCTCCTAATTTATTTTTCTTTCAACCTGTATACTCACATTTGATCTGGGAACTGAAAACGATTACATAATTAATGGCACAATAAGGGCATTTAAAAGCACTTATTTGCTTATATAGGCCTGACTTTCAAGACACAGTGGGATAGTATTTAGGCACACTGAGAAGCATTATTCAAAAGTGGTGTGTGTGTGTGTGTGTGTGTGTGTGTGCGTGTGTGTGTGT